TATATATATATATATTTATATGTACATACACACACACACACACATATATATATACACATACATACATACATATATATGGTATAAAGATTTAAGACTCTGAAAATGGTTAATAATTTTAAAATAGCAAAGGAAATATAAGCCTTATTCACAAACTGGTTTTGCCTTAAAAGTCATTTCTGTATTTTCAAGGGAGAAATTCTACAGATGGCTGTACCACATAAAAGTATTTTATGAGATGGAACACAATGATAAGATACACCCCAAACCTAGACAATTCAAAGAGTTGTTTTTTTAGTTCAGAACTATGGTATTTCTTCCCCCTGCTTATTACCTAAATCATATTCAGAGCTGTGTTTTATATAAGGCTCACTAACTCTAAGCTTACACTCAGTGAAAAAGTCTCACCTTGATCCATTTGACATCTTTACCCACATCACTAGAATGAGACTATGAGAGTTAATAATCCTCACAAAATATTCCATTTGCTCTCCTACATTTCCTGGCAACCCTTGCATGTAGGAGGGGGTCACACAATTAGTTCTGTCCAATGAAATATAACTAGAAATGATGCTACTTCCAGGCTGAAACTGCTAAAAGCCTGTGTGGTTCATCAGACTCTCTTCTTACAGCAGCCACTTAGAAGGCCATGTGTTCTAGATGGTGCTGTCCCAAAACAGTGGAGTTCCTGTAACCCGAGTCTGTAAGGTGAAGGAACTCCTGCAGACCTGCACTGGACATGCAATGTGAAAAAGAAACAAACTTTTGTTGGGTTACGTCATTGACATGGCGAGGCTGTTTGTTACCACAATACAACCTAGTCTACTCTAAGCACATCAAAAAACCCTACTATTGGAAGGGGGAGGGGGGGAGGACAGTATTACGGTAACTATAATACTGTCAACAATAATATATATATATATGCTATTCACCATCTTAAAATTATATACTCTCTCAATATGTCTAACTTTCTTGACCATAAAGTCTTTGAGATCAGGACACTATTTCCATCATTAAATAACCCTACTTAATTGTTCCTAAAAGAGGGAAACAGAAAGAAGGCAACTTTCAATGAACTTTAGAAATTTCCCAGTCTGTAGACTAATTCAAAGTCAGCAGTCACTTAGTGGTCCACTCCAAATTCATAAAACAGCACCTATGCAACTCTACGTAGTAAAGATTCCAGTTAATAAAGTACTGGCCAAAAGCCAATTCAGAGCTGAGCCATCCCATGCATATTATAAAAGAGTAATAGAGAAATACAAAGGATCAACACTGCTGAAGGAGACCTGGAAACTCTTCGGCCCTACTAGACCCGCCAAGTAAGATGCACACCTCTTCCACCCCTTCCCAAACATTAAAGTTAAATCATACCTCTTTAAAGAATCCTGACTCTCCTTGGGACCTCCCAAATGTACACATTCTATTTCTCAAAATAAAATGGGATCTTTCTGGTTTGGGGACAACTATTTCAAGCTTCTTTGGGATCACTACAAGAGCTCTTGGAGATTGAGAACCCATCATGATATGGAAAGATTGACCACACGCCTTAAATGAAGTATGAATCTATTTTAAAAATTTGAATTACACATACAAAAACAACTTACAACAAGCAAAAGCCATAGCTAAATGTCCTAATGCCTGCTGCTTATGTAACTTTTGACTTATATAACATGGATTCTGAAGCAGCAAGACCAATTTCAACAGGAAATGAGTTACACAACACCCAGCAGTTTGCAGGAAGGCAGCAGACAACAGAGAAATTAAATTGTTCCTACTTCTACATCTATAATAAACCTCCCATGCGCCTTTCCCTAGTCTCACTACTTTCAGTCTCTCATTATCTTTAGCCCACTTCATGTCTTTGCTACCAGACCCATTCTTCATTCTTGACACTCTGATCAAGTCGCTTCCTGCTCAAATTCCTTTAAAGCCCCCTCCTGCCAATCGCAGTCCAATTTCTCCCACCAGTGAGGGCTTTCCAACCCATCTTTCCCAGACTTTCCCCAAAACATGCCTTCCATGCAATACCTACTTCTCTGGCAAAATGGTTTTCTTACATACGAAGTATTCTTTTCTGTCTTTGTTCACCAAGCCACTCCTCTACCTGGAATGTCCTTTTCCATCTACTCTGCATACACAATTCTTCCCAAGCATGACTCACATGTCATCTCCTCCATGAAGCCTTTTCATAAGCTACTACGCCTGAGCTATTTAATATGATAGCCACTAGCCACACATGGCTAATGTCAGATGTTTAAATTATAATATTTGAAATATGGAGTTAAATTTTTATAAAGTATTAAAATTAATTTCACTTGTTTTTTACTTTATAACCTTACCACAAGATAAATTTAAACTACATATGGCTCACATTGTATTTCTATTGGACAGCATTACTCTAAACTAAAAATATTCTCACAAAGCATTTCCTGTATACCTCTCTTAAAGTTTTATCACATTTCTTTAGTACCAAAATTATTTGTGTATATTCCTTAAATTTAAATCCCTTACACCACCATAAACTCCTTGAGGGCATATCCCCCACAGTACCTTGCACATAATCGGTATAAACAAAAATATCTGCTGAATAAATGACAGATCCCCAAATGAAAAAACAGCAAAACTGCAACCTTGGTAGAACTCTCTCTTCTTAAATAATTCAAAGCACCTATTCTTCATAAGCACATTAAATCCTTCTTACATTTGTACCTCATCCCTTATATTTCTGGCACCTACTTCAAAATTAGTCATGCCTCTACCCTTACTCCATAACTTTCAATGACTCTCTTTTGGCTACTCCATCAAATCTAAACTCTACCTGGCTTTCGAAGTCCTTCATAACTTGGCTTTTCCAGACCTGTTAAGACTTTCTCTTCCAGTATTCTCCAACATGCACCTTTCTCCCAGGCTGGACATCACTGAATACTCTATAAATGCCATGATCAAACATGCCTAAAATTGCTTCTTATCTCTGGTTTCTCTTTCCATGGTTTCAGTTACCGGAAGTCAAATGCAGTCTGAAAATATTAAAAAGAAAATTCCAGAAATAAACAATTTGTAAGTTTTAAAATGCGAGCCACTGTGAGTAGTGTGATGAAATCTCATGACACCTGGCTCGGTACT